TGAGAAAGCCCATACAAAAAAATTAAATAATAATTAGAGTTCAAAAGATGTGCACCAGTTTAAGAAAACATTTTCCACCAAAAAATCAATCTGGTTTGTGACATTCTTAATACCTATCTTCCTTTCCTTTTTTCTGAGATGTGCTTAGTACGTTTTATAATTATTTCCAAACTTTGCTCTAGCTATACCGAGTGTAGATAAATTATTTTCGTATTTGTATACATTAGCCTTTTAGTTGTACACAAGATGAAAATTATATTATAACCTGGAAGAAAGATGTTATCAAATACATTATATGGTTTGGCATAGATTCTTAGCAGAATGTGTAGACACTTTGGCTTAAGTTTAGGTTGCATTTCTGGATATCATCAAGTAGAAAGTAATTCTTATTAGAATGGGGGACAGAAAGGTTAATTTAATGTTGACATTTATGAGAATTTTGGGGGGAATCTTGAGAAATGATTATCTTTACTGAGGATTTATTGTATTCACTGACCTGTCTGCAGTCATCATCAGCTTAAATTTAATCAATATGTAATTACTGACATTTTCATTTTTAGATCTGCAAGTGTTAATATATTAAAAAATCTTCAATACTTCAAAGGCATTTATTGCTTCCTTCAAAATAAACGACTGGAATTAGAATCAAAGGATAGTTTAATTCAACCTGGACCTTTACTATGTGATGAGAATGGAACAGTGGGTAGAATAGAAGATGAATGAGACCCAGTATTTGCCTTCAAGGGAGGAGCAGACATGCACAAAAATAATTCGGTACAAGATTCCTGTGGGTTTTATTAGAGGTGCAAGGAAGCATGGGGTGTGTTTGTAAAGATATTAATTTTAGACTGGAGAATTACGAAATGAGTAGAGCTGGTAACACTCCATCTGGGTCTTAAAATTTTTAATAGGCAAATTAGGGGAAAGGGGGGCTAGTTTTCTAGAATAGGGAATAGCCTGAGCACAGCATGTGGTTTGGTGTATAGGGCATGTTGAGCTGGACATAAGTGCTGTGCCAGGAGGTCTTTGTAGGAGAGGAAGCTATGAAAGTAGGTGAGATCAGGCCATGAGCACTATGATTATTTAAAAATGAGTCAGTCTGAGATGTGAAAGTCCAAGTTTATATAGATTTTGTGTTGATAATAGTAGGCAATTAAGGATAGTAAGTTTAAGGAAACAGTTATAACAAAATAGTTTGCTGTCATTTGTGCTACTAGATGAAAGCAGAAATTATAATCAAACCAGTTTATACATGGCTTTGTTATATTTCTTTATTTGTATTTGAATATGGTTGTGTCTGGTATCTGGTTATCGGTTGTACATAAAATAAATCCAGACTGTAAAAATGTAACTTAGGAAAAAATGGGAAGCTTTCCAGTTTTTTTTCTGTGTCCCTCTGGTCCATCCTGTAATCTCGTCTGTGCTGAGTAATAGATTTATTCTGGTGTAGTTTATTGGTTTAGATTTTTTCAGAATGGGATAGTGGTTGTTCAGTTTTAAA